TTTTTTTTTTTTTAGAGAATTTTCTTGTGGATTTCACTCTGGTCCTTCGGTGGTTTTCTGGCAAATTTCTTGTGAATATTCCTTCGGCGTTTTTTTTTTGGAGAATTATCTTGTGGATTTCCCTCTGGTCCTTTGGCTTTTTTTTTTTTTTTGGAGGATTCTTTTGTGGATTTCCCTCTGGTCCCTTGGCGTTTTTTTTTTTGGAGAATTCTTTTGTGGATTTATTAGTTGTTTAATTTTAACTACTGTAATCAATTTGTAAAATTTTTATCAACTCGGAACTCTGATGAAGTTTTTTTTTACTGAAGCGTGTACTTGCAGATACATATGTACAATGTTTTTATCAATAAATATGCTTATTAATATTGTTATGATTGTATTATAAATACAAGTGTGCATGAATTTTTTTTTTCACAATATAAATTTTTAATTAAATTATCGCTGTTTTCAAAATGGTTGAAAAAAAATTTTTTTGAGTATATGCATATACTCGTATATCAGATTACTTTAACACATCGATAGAAGATCGATACTGCATATGTACTTCTTGTTTATCATAAAACAATTACATATCTAATTATTACAAGTCACTTGTAACAATTAGACGTGTAATTGTTTTATGATAAACAATAAGTATGTATGCAGTATCAATGTGCTAAGGTAATCCAGTATATGAGTATATGCATATACTCAAAAAAAATTTTTTTTTATCTATTTTCAACCATTTTGAAAATAGCAATAATTTTTTTCTGCATAAATTACATTGTTTTAAATAATATTAAAATAATATGTATTTATGTATGTTCTAAAATAGTATATATCTTACATAATACATTAATAGAGTAACAATTAAATTTTGAATACTGCATATTGTATTGTAGTTAATATATATATAATTAGTTGTATTTGTTAAAATATTTGAATTTTTAAATTTTTATTTTGTAAAAATGTCTATTTTTTCCTTAAATAAAAATATTTTTGAAGAAACTCATATAGAAAATACTCAATTACAAGCAGACCTTTCAAATTTACAGTTTCAATTTTTAGTTCAAGAAGATGATAATTTATCTTTATTTGAAACATCTGAAATTTTAGAAACTACAGAAAATGATCTTTTAGAAAATGAGGTTTGGACTGAAGAAGAGCTTTCAAAATTTAAAAAATTATATTATAAAGAAAAAGATATTATTGAAAAACAAGAAGATGATAATCAAGATTTAGAAAATGAAATAAATTTATTACAAAATGATAGTTTTAAAAAATCTTTTGAAAAAGATTGTTGTGAAAAAAATTGTTTACAAACTCAAGTTGAATATTCTGTAGCTTTAAAAAGATACTTAAATTTTAAAAATCTTTCTAAATCTTTTCAAGATATGTATTTATTAGGTATAATTGCTGCTACTAAACGACCAGAAGTAATTAAACATTCAAAAAAGTCTAAGCTTACTACAGAATATAGCTTTGAAGGAAAATCAATTTGTAAAAATGCTTTTAAAACAATTTATGGACTTGGAGATACAAGATGGAAAAATTTAAGAGATCATTTTGTAGAACATGATATAAATTTACGTATTAATTCAAAAACTGGAAAAGTTGGAAATCGAACAATATCTTTTGAAATAGTAATGAAAGTAATTACTTTTATAGGAAATTTTGCAAAACAAAATGGTTTACCATCTCCAGGTAATTTTAAATTATTTTATTTATAATTATTTAATTTATTTATAGCAATTATATTTTATTTTACTGCAATTAATTTAAAAGCTAATTATTTTATTTATAATAAATTTAAATTTTATAGGACGAAGTTTTCGTAATAATACTATTGCTATTATATATTTACCAGCAGATACTACTTATTTATCTTTACATACACAATATTTAGAAGCAATTAAAACTAATAATCAATTTGAAATTAGTTTAATGACATTTATTAGAATTTGGAAAAAATTTTTGCCAAATATCAAAAAATTAACTCCACGTAGTGATTTATGTTTAAAATGCAAAACTATGAGATTTAATGCAAATTATTGGTCAATTGAAGAAAAAGAAACTAAAGTTTTAGAATGGCATGAACATATTAAATGGGCACAAGAAGAACGAGAAAATTATAAGTAAGTAATTTTAAAATTTAGATTAGTTATTGGTTAAATTTTATAAATTATTTAAATAATTTTAATTTTTAATAATTTATTTTATAAATTTTATTAGAAAATATATTAACATAGCATATCAAGATATTCAAAAATTTGGAATTAATAGTATTATACGTCCTGGAAAACCAAATTCTTTAGATATTACAGTTCATCTTTCTTGGGATTATGCACAGCAAATTCAATTACCATATTCATCTCAACAAGAAGTAAATAATTTTATTAAATTTATAACAATTTAATTATAATTATTTATTAATTATTTTATTATTAGGGTGAAATTTATTTTAAATCTTTATACAAAGTTCATTTATTTGGAATCTGTGATGATGCATTTCCACGTCAAGTAAATAATACTATTTTTTATTACTGTATATAATTATATTTATATTAATATATTTTATAATTTTAGGTAAATTATCTTATTAAAGAAAGTGAATTAGTTGGTAAAGGTGCAGATGTTGTTATTTCTTTGATTCATAATTATTTTGAATTACATGGATTAGGAGAAAAAAAATTAGTAATTCATGCAGATAATTGTTCTGGACAAAATAAGAATAATGCAATGATTGCATATTTAGCTTGGAGAGTTTTAACAGGATTACATGATAGTATAACGTATTGTTTTATGGTTGCAGGACATACTAAATTTAGTCCAGATGGATTTTTTGGATTGATAAAATTATTTTTAAGAAAATCTGAAGTAGATAATTTTAATGATCTAATTAATATAGTTCAAAATTCTACTCCTGGTGGATATAATATTGCACAAACAGTTTTTGATAATGAAGGGAATCAAGTTGTGCATTTTTATGAGTGGACAAATTGGTTAAAACAAAAATTTACAACAGTTCCAGATATATTAAAACAACATTATTTTGAATTTAATAATTTAGACAAAGGACAAGTTAAGATTAGTACATCTTCTAATGGAGAAAAAACAACTATACAAATTGAAAAAATTAGACAAAAAGATAATTTTAATCAATTAGTTGAAAAAAAATTACCTGGTCTTAGTGCAGAACGACAATGGTATTTATATGAACAAATAAGACCTCATATACAAAATCCTAACAAAAAAGATGATTTGTGTCCAATGCCTACTGTTACTAAACCAAATTTAAATAAAATCAAATATTAATTTATTAAATAAAGTTAAATTATAGAATTACATAACAATATAATTAATAAGTTATTTGGTTATTTTTAATTGTAAATTGTATAATAATATTAAAAAAACTAATTTTACTGTAATATGATATTATAATAATACAACATTATAGCATAACAACATTATAATACATAATTATAATAAATAATACAAACTTGAATACAGATTATTTTTTGTACTTTATTATATTTTTTTAAAAATTAAAAAAATTAAAAAAATTTAAAAAATTTTAAAGTTAACAAAATAAATGTCAAAAAACAAAAAAGAAAATTCACTA